CACATACATATACATATTTTTTTGAGAGGATTTTGCTATAGGGCACATGCGCTCACCAGAAAGCCAGAGACAGAAAGCAAGAAATCATCCCCCCGGGGGGGGATGGCCATACTGCAATCCCTTTTCCATTCTCCTCTCAGGATCTTGGGCACGTACACATATATGCCTGGCTTGAGTTTAAGCCACCAGGTCTGGGACTCGAACCACGGTTGACTACACAGGAGTCCAGCGATGTAGCCATTTTGCCATCTGCAGGTCCCGATTGTTATATTTTTAAACTTGACAACAGACAGAGAGGGAAAATGAGAAAGCAAGCCACCAGGTCTGGAACTCGGACCATGGTCAGCTATATAGGAATCCAGTGTCTTCGCCACTTTGCTTGCTGGCCCCAAGAATAGTTTTTTGTTTTTTGTGGTTTTTTTTGAGGTTTTTGCCTTCGGGTGCATGTACTCACTGGAGAGAGGCAGAGGCAGAGACAATGAGAAAGTGAGACAACACCCCTCTGGGGGGGGTTGGCCATACCACAATTCATTCTCCTCCCATGATCTTGGGGACGCACAGGTATCCGGCATGAGTTTCAGGCCACCGGGTCCAGGACTTGACCTTGGTCAGCCATGTGGGAGTCCAGTAACATAACCGCTACACCATCTGCTGGCCCCAAGGTTAGCTTTTTAAGATCCTCCATAGTGGTCAAGATTTAATGATGCCAAATAATCAAACGGAGTAAAAAGGAGTTTGGGTCCTGAGATAAACAAGCTAATTAATGAGCAGTAAATCATCTAGGTGAAAGCAATCTGGGCCATCTGTCTTGCCTTTCTTGAAATGAGAGTGGTCGTGGCCACCAGCTTATGATGGAGGAGCACTCAAGGGGACCAAGACCCTCACGACGAATTTCATGCTGTGGGTCCTGCCTGCTACGGTATGAATGGACCCCCCTCACCCCCCAGATTCATGTGTGGAGATTTGGTTGTGATGGGATTAAGGGTGAACACTTAACTGATTCTCTTGTTGAAAGGTGGGGCCTTTGGGAGGCGCTTAGGGCTAAGTCTTTCAGGTGGGGCCCCATGATTGAGTTCTGGTGGGTTTACAAGGAGAGGGAAGGAACCCAAAATGGAGAGACGCTCACGGGCACAGCTCCTCTGCTCTCTCCCGCTGATGTGGTGCCCCGGGCTCTGTGAGACACCCACAAGATCTGGCCTCCACACCTTGGGCCTTCAAAGGGTGAGTTGAATAAACCTCGATTTTTATGAATCACCAAGTTCCAGGTATTTTCTGTTGTGAGCAACAGAGCAGACTAAAGTGTAGCCCCTGCTGCTCGGGGCCAGTTGCGTGGTGGGAACCTGTGGGGACAAGACCCTGGCCTATTCTTGGAGCAGCCGCAGGACCGTGCGTCCCCCAGAGCTCCTCTAGGTGCTGAGCCGTTCAGGGCCACCGGAAGGGAGTAGGCCTCTCAGGTTCGACCTGGCATGAGCGTCCATGACTATCTCAGAGAAAGGCGGGGGTGACATGCCTGGTGGCTGCACGTAGGAAGAGCCAGTCTGTCCAGTGTAATCAGTGGCCTGATCACACCCAGGGTTACGCGGGAGAACGTCACACCGCGGTCCTCTCCGGCGTCTTTGGTGCTCTGGGCTGCCGGCTCCCACAGGAAGGGATAGGTCTTGCTGCTATGGTGTTTTCTCTCTTACTACTTTTTTTGTGCTTGAATGAATGAACTCAGATTGATTGATAGGTGTTACCTGTGTCGGGCGGTTTGACCTTTCAGCTAGTGTTCTGAGCCCTTACTGAGGGAACGGAGGCATTAAGCACAGTACGTTTTGAGGCCTGTAGGTGCCATGAAGTTTAAGGTGCTAGACTCCCACATGGTGACCATGGTTTTGAGTCCCAGACCCGGTGGCTCAAAAATCACAGAGACCAGCAGATGGCGTAATGGCTACGTCACTGGACTCCCATGTAGCTGTGTATAGTTCGAGTCCCAGACCTGGTGGCTTAAACTCATGCTGGCACGTGTGTGTGCTTGCCTAAGATTCCGAGAGGAGAATGGAGGAC